ATCATTGCGCTCTTCCTGGGTGAGGCAGTTGCTCACCGGCCACTGGATGGCTGCTCATGGCAGCTCATGCTGGCTGCTGGCCACTCTCGGTAGCTTTATGGCAGCCCACTGCAGCCTACGCCATAGCTTATGGCAGCCCACTGCAGCCTATGCTGTCGCCGGCAACACAGCAGCCCAGCTCCAGGTCGAGCTGTTGTTCACCATCTTAGCTGTAGAGGGCACAGCGTCACTGGCCCACATGTGGGATTGACCCGGGGTCCTGCTGCTCAGAGCTGGTGTCCCAAGCCAACTCTTAACAAACGTGCCACTTGGCCGGCCCATGAAAAGCTTTATTTTAACAAATCTGTATCATGAGCTCAAAAAAGTCTCCATCTATAGATTTAATAAAATAACAAAATTAATTCATGAGGCTCATTTGACTGTTAAATAAGCCATGGGGATGTAATGTACAGCATGGTGACTGTAGTTATCAAAAATAAAAAAAAATGTTATTGCTGATTTGCAGGGGTCACCTTTTAATTTTCCAAGTTTTTTTATAACAAGCACTTTTTATTTATTTTTATTAAAGATCAAGGAAAGGTTTTATTAAAAGTTAGTCAATGAGGTAGCCATTGGCAGTGTCTAGAGAAGATGGCTTAGTTTCTTCTTATATCAGAAAGGGTAGGTAAATTTTCTTACAGTAGGAGATGTGATGCCCAAACTCAGGACATTTGACATATAGACTGAGGTCATTTGATTGACATGTGCTGGGTATATAACTAGTTTCTTTCCACGCATGCTCTTACCCGTAATGCATTAGAAAAACCCACAGGGGGGTGGAGGGCAAGTCATAATGTTCATTTTATTCTAATTGTATTATAATGAGGTCAGAGTTCAGGCTGAGGGCAGGCTCTAGTAGTCAAGCACATTTTTTTTTTAATTAGAAAAAAGACATTTTTTTAAAAACGTAGTAATTTTCATGGGAGACAATAATCAACATATGCGCTCCTTGGATGTTTCATGCACTTCATTAAAAACATAGCCTAAGCTAGTTTTGGCTCCTCTAAGAAAGAATATGATTATGTTGTTAAACATATGTACAGTTTGAAACAAATACAAAATTTCAAAAGAAAACATTCTATTCATCCAATATTTTAAAACAAATTCAATTTAGAAGCTTACAAAATTAGGGGATCACATACCTTTAAATGTAGGCGTGTTAAATTAATTGCTTGACTTTGTATCTGGGAACTTCTAGTAAGTTCTGCACACCAAGTAAAACATTAACTTTTTGATTTTTTTCCAACAACAAGAAGTAAAGCAGGTTACCAGCAATTCTGAGAATTTGCAAAAACAGCTTGCAAGAAAAATGAAGCTCCCTATATTCGTCGCAGATGCATTCACAGCAAAAGCATTTCGTGGGAATCCTGCTGCTGTTTGTCTCCTAGAAAATGTAAGTATTGGTTTGGAAGGCAGTGCCTGGAATTCTAGATTCCTGTAAAAGCCAATGTTTCTTTTTTTAAAAAACCTGATCCACTTGTTTGTTTACTTCTTTGGTTTTTGTTCTTTGTCAAATGATATCAGCGATGTTCATGTGTGCAAGTTGATTCTGACAAACTTCTGTGGCAAGAGTGCTTACACCTAGATGCTTAAGACTAGAGAAACGAAGATTCTTGTAAAGAAGGACTAGAGTTCCCCCTTAGCCATTAGGTTCTCATTTATTGGAGAATAAAATTAAATTCGTTTTATGTGAATAGACATGGCTAATATTACATTTAGCGTTAACAGATTCTAGCTGGATGTTTTTAACCTTAACTATTCAGACAATTAGCAATTCTGTTCAGGACAAAGAAAATGAGACATTTTTGCAAATAATTAAGTAAAAAGATAGAAGGAATTAAGCTCTAAAATTGGGAGAACTTTGTTTACCCAAAGTCTCATTTTTAAAAATGGCTTTTTGATTTGGATAAGTATTAACAGAAAAGTTAAATATTCCTTGACTTTAACTGCTTTTTTGGTCCCTGGGTATTAGGAAACAATCAAGGTGCCCTTCCACTCAGAGCAGTCCATGTAAGAGATTATCTGAGAATTACTTCAGGAGTACAGTAAGCAATTGGTGTTCTTAAGTACGTCTGACTGAGTTGGGCAAAGTGTGCTTTGGGGCCTTGGAGTACGCGAATCTCAGCCTGGCCTGCACATTAAAATCACCAGAGAGCTTTAAACATTTCTATGCTCAGGCTGCATCCCAAACCAATGACAATAGAATCTCTGGGGGTGGGACCCAGGCAGCACTGCTTCCTAATCTCCTCAAGTGATTCTACCGTGAAATCAAGATGGAGAGTGGCTGAGGTTTCACTGAGATAAGTGAATATTGTTAAGTGTGTCCTTAATACACTTATTTTCTCTCTCAAATGGAACAGCAAAATGGTGGTCAAGGGTCTTCATCTCACTTTAACAGTGCATTCATTACGCAACCTTTCAGCCGGCATTTTCCAACCACCAAATGCAGAAAGTAATAAAGTTAATAAGGCTTTATCAAGTTACGCAAGAACTTGGGAGGATTAGCGAGAGAATAATTAACAACCAGATTATAAATTGTGAACTTTTTTTAGAAACAATCTGGCAAGGAAGTGTGAAATTGTCTAAAACTGCTTGTCAAGAGTCTTAGTACATTTATTTGCCCCATGTTCCCATGTAATATCTTTGAAGAGTTTTAAAAATACTTTTGAGTGATTTTTGTGCTCAGTTTTCATCAGATGAGAAGGATTTGCATTATCCCTCAATTTAGTCCTTTTACCTCTGGTGTACTCACTAAACAACAGACTTAAGGTATCTCTCTACCTCTATCTACCTTTCTATCTCCATGTCTATCTCTCTACCTCTCCATTAAAGTATATTTTACATGTTATTTATATATTTGGAATAACTAGGAAATAAAAATTTAAGCAAAGAACATAGTTTGATGCAACAGGCTTCAGTGCAAATGGAAGAAAGAAACAGAAGACAAGGCAGTCCGTGTCTTAGGGACACTCGCTCATCCCCCTTCACTTCTTCTGGGCCTTAGACCTGTGAGATCAGGCTGATCTGATGGCCTGTCAGGGACAACTTGATAGCTAAAGACTAGTTTGCTAGTTTTCTATTCTGTGGACATGAGAATCCTGTTTTCCTAGAGTTAGCAATTTCTCCAATTCATAATCAATAAAAATTATAAAGGAAGTATATAAACTGTGTTTTCTGCCTTTGGACTCTCCTCTGCAGGGCTGGAGACAGTGGATACCTGAAACACCTGGAGAGAACATAAGTGAGCTCAGGAAAATCTCAGAGACAAATAAGTGCTACACCTTCTAGTGCTGACCATAATTCAGTAGGCGTTTAGCCTGTCATTAACATATTCTATTATACAAATTATTTATAGACACCCACCATGAGCCAGGTTCTGGGCTAGGAATGGGAGGTACAAAGATTGTCTGCCCTTGAGGTGCTGAAAGTCTAGTGGGGGACAGAGACACGTAAACTTGATCTTTATTCAGTAGTCACCACAGAGGCTGAAAGACTGAAAGGCATCAGGTGCAAAGGGGACTCAGAGAACAATGTTGGATTTTATGGAGAAGAAAATACTTCAGATTTTAAGCGCAGTGTTTCAAAGGACATTCGTTTTGTTTTGTCTTGTTTAAAATGATTTAAAATTTGACCAAGATGAGACTAACCATAGGAAAACTTGGTGGACAGACTAAAGACTAGGTAATTGCATATTGAGCTTTTTGAATACTTGAGAAAAGACCACTGGAAGGAAAGTAACAAGTTCTGGGGAACAAAATTCTAAGAGCTTTCATAATATTCTAAAGTTCTGATTTTCTTTCAGGACAAGTCAGTTTTTGACATTCTCATACGAAGAACTTATAATACTGTACATTAGGTGAAAACAAAAACAGATTACGGGATAAATGGAACATGAAATAGATATTTTAAAAAATATTTAAAACCTTAAAAAAAATGATGTCCTCAAATGCATGACATTCCGTTTGACAATAAAGACCAAGTAGAGACATGGAAAATGTATAGAAACAATATTTAAAATATGAAATAGATACATTATGATAATAGCTGTGTAAAAAACGACAGGAACTCATGACCAACTATTGAAATAGGTGAGAGCGCTGTGGTAGTGATGAGGGGTGATATTTTGTTTATTTTTTTGTAAACCAACTGTAATATTTAGTGAAAATAACGTATTAGCAGGGGTAAAGAGCCCATGTATTTATTCTCCTTCGTTTTTTAACAAAGCTTTAAGTTTTTTATCTTTGTTGTTGTTGTTGTTGTTGTTGTTGTTGTTGTTGGTGGTGGTGGTGGTGGTGGTGGTGGTGGTGTGTGTGTGTGTGTGTGTGTGTATGTGTGTGTGTGTGTGTGTTTAGGGCAGGGTTTCTTAACAGCAGCACTACTGACTTTTTGGACTGGGTAGTTCTTTGTTGTATGAAGCTTGTCATGTTTACAAGTATCCTTGGCTTCTACCCACTAGATAACAGTGGTCCCCCCCTTCAAAAATCACCCCCCATTGAGATCCATTGTTTCAGAGGTTACCTTTTCTCACAAGAGGTTTATTCCTGAGTTTTCCTGTTAAAATTATCCATCAAAAACAACTTTATGTGTGCCCAATATATACATTTATTCCAATTCAACTGGCATTTCCTGGCTATCGACCATGTGCTGGGATCAAATGTAATATTCAAATATCTGCATTATTATTCTTTTAAACACCAGTGATCATTTCCAGTGACAGCAAGGAGCACTGGCTTCACACTTTTAAAGAGGAATGCTCAGTTTTAATTCCTGAACTATTTGCTGTTCCAGTTTTCCTTATTAAATTTAGAGAACACCCCAAACCCTTTACAGCGTGTGTTATGTATTTAAGGGAAAAAACAGGTGTATAACAATACTGTGCTCAACCTATGCTTTAACTCATATGGGGAAGCTTATGGTGCACGGGCCGTTTCCACACTTCGTGCCCTTCCTTGGAGAGAGGCTCCCTTGGTGTGACCACACTGGGTCAGAGGCTCCTGGGTGGGGTTTCTAGGGTGTTTCAATTTCCTATCCCATTTATATGCCCAGAACAGGGATGAGGAGTGCAGAGAAGATTCTTTAAAGCATTGAAGGATTTTCCTTTGCCCAATGTTTGAAGAAAGAGCAATGCAAAGCAGGAGGAGATGTTAATGTAGGAATTTCTGCTTTCCAAGTATCCTCACTGGCTTCTAGAACATAACCCTTAGCTTGGGGAACAGTGACTTCAGACAAATTTAGCCAGATACCGTGCTCATCGCTATTTATATGTTACTACATTTCACCCTCACAACCACTCTATGAGTAGGTCTTATTATTATCCCCATTTTACAGATGGGGAAACAGAGGCAGAAAAAGGTTAAGTAATTTGCGTGAGGTCACACACTCCTAGGTGGCTGACTCCAGGATCCCACGTCTGCCTGACTGCAGAGCCTATGCTTTTAACTACTGTACTCACTATTAAACTACATATTCTCCCCTATTATGTGCTCCCACGGCACTTCTTACTTTCCAGTTGGTAACAAGCATCGCTGTTGTCATTCATTCAATGCCTGCCTTCCTCATTAGACTGCACATTCTATGAGATCTTAATCTAGTCTGACTTGTTCCAACACACTTGGCCTAGCACATGGGAGGCACTACATAAATAACCTGTCGATTGAAAGTGAAAATATAATTGATTAAATTTGGTAAAATTTCCTAAGAGTTCTAGTTAACCAGTAATTATTGAGTTTATGTTCTCATTGGTGGGGCGGGGTGGGGGGTGGAGCATGCTAAGTGAGTATGAGTTTTGGGTTCTGTGATGGAGCTAAAGAGACTGGGCATCCCTGAGAACCATTAGGAAAAACTAAAGATGGCCTACAGTTTGAGTACTTCATTGGAGGACATAACTTCACAATAAGAAATCCAAGTGATTCAGAAGAAATTTCTCATTTCTTCCTGGATGATTTAGAACTTTCTATACCTGAATGCTTTTCCTTCACTGGAATCTATCTGCAACAGAGGGACAAATGAACAGACTGTCATGTTTAGGCTGTCATAGTTCTAAACTGCCACAAGATGGGAGTATTTTAAAGCTTTAGTCTGATTTTCTGATCAAATTTGTTGTTGGCCATATGGTGATGGAACCCCAGTGTCCCAATGTAGTACATCAAAAAATCCCCAAACAAACATGGCAGTTTTTGCTGTTGGAATTTTGACTCGTGAAATTGCCAAAGGGAAATGGATATTAAAACAAAAGAATTAATAGCTGTTGGTTTGTAACTATTAGGTGTTGCATTTGAAAATAAGCTTGTAGTGTAAAATGGAAAAATTACTGGAACCAAAATTCAGTATTTTGAATGAATGCAGCTTCTTTCTTTTGTTTATAAAGCTCTCAACGTTGAACCAATATTAGCCTTCTCATGATTCACCTTTATCTTGACCTTTGGTTCCAGTGTAGAAATTCAGCTGCCTGTTGTGCATACTGAGGGCCGCTACTATCAAACTTTCTACATTATATCTGGTCCCTCAGGCAAATAACAGGTGCATTTTAAATGTCCTGGGACAGAAATTACAGTTACAGAGATTCAAATTGCAATTGATGCAATACACCAATGTAGAGAAGATTAAAGAGCGATGGTCAGTGAGGTGTGTGTTCTAACTGATGTGCAAAAAAAGCCCATTTGCAAGGAAATCCATAATCTATAGAAGGTGAGCTTGGCTACAATGCAGAATGCTTTAATGCTTTTAGAGACTCTGTCCTTAAGGTAGAGGGAAGAAACAAAGAAAGGAGGGACAAAGATAGGGAGCTTTGGCCACGTGAGACAGGAAGCACTGGCAGGCAGTGCAGGTTCCTGGAGCCAAGGAGGCAGACCCAGGAAGACCAGCACAGGCTTTCCTTTGTCACCCCTTCAATCACCACTGAGCACTGTGATTGCAGATTCTGCACTGGAGAATTAAATGGCTTCCAGTTTCTCTCAGGTGCTGTATACACAGGTATGTGGGCCAATTTCCACAGAGAACATTCTATAGGCCACGGGAAGAGCTTGAGTTCAATTCTCAACAGTATTGCCTTGTTGGCTGGGATGCCCCAGCACTTCCTGACCTCTACTCAGGTGGCACGTCTCGTTCCCCAGACCCACAGGTGACCACAGGTGTGACAGGTGCATATTCTACTTTATTCCTACCATCCTAATTCTCCTCACCTCGGCTCACAGAATCCTAGTGTCAAAGATTTAACAGAAGGAGAACAGACGTGAGATCAAGGGACTTGCCTAAGAAGTGTCCCCAATACAAAGCTCTTTGCCCACATTTTTCTGTCCAACTCATCAAAATTTGCCCTTTTTCTTTAAAGTCCTAGCATATTTATCGTCAAAATCTGTGTATCACAGTCACACACTGTACAAAAACCTATGTGTCTCACATACATACATATGTACTCTCTGGCGTTGCTTACTGCTGCTTTCTGGGTTTGTCCTGACTCCCACAGGGAGGCTAGGCTCCTTGAACTCAGGGCTGTATCTTATACATCAGGGCTTCTCAAACTTGAATGTGCACTTGGATCACCTGGGGACCTGGTTAAAATGGAGGTTCTGATTCAGAAGGTCCCGTGTGGGGCCTGAGCCCCTGCATTTCTACCACATTCCCTCAGTAATGGTGCTGGTGCTGCTGGCCCAGCACAGCACTGGGTCATTCATTGATTGCTGCATTCCCTCAGAAATGTGGCAGCCGTCTGTTTTATCTGATAGACACTGGTTTTCCTGTCTGCAGGGTGCTAAAGGGATAATACGGGTAATAGTGTGACTTTGTTATGGGGAGTGTAGTGTGGCAGGTGAAAGCCCTGGGCTTTGAGCCACTCAAAATAAAAAGCTAACATTTATCAAGTACTTACTATCTGTTGGGCACTGTGATAGCACTTCATATGCATAATTGGACTTAATCTTTTGAAAGAAAAACGTTAAGTAAAAAACAAAACCATTGTATCATGTTTGGGTTTTCAGAAAACAAGTACTGTATCAATTTCTTAAGTGACTTCTCTTTCTACAGAACTACAGAGCTTCTGTAGGTTTTGAATACAGTGCTCCTTTAAGAAAAGCTTAGTAAATCTCCTGTTAGGGTTTTTATATCAGCTGATAGTTTAAAACTCATGACTGACTTCTCACAATAACCACTGTTTTATGCCTCATACAAGTATAAGGAAAGTGTTTCAAAGAATTTTGAAACAACTGAAAAACAAAGTGTGTTTAACTTGCATAACTCAGGTAAGTGAATTATGAATTATTTCTGGGCTTCAACTCAAGTATAATAAGTTTTTAGCCACAGCAAAAATTCATTTGTCTTAAAATTTCTTTAGAATTAAAAATCTAGCTAGTGAGCATTTTGTTGATTACAAATTTTATTTTTATTCTTAAAAGGAAAACTTGTATTTCTGGCCCATTTTTTCTTGAGTTAAGAGGAGTGTGTGTGTGTGTGTGTGTGTGTGCGCAAATACCAATATGTACGTATGTGACTTAAGTACTGTTATTCCCATTTTAAAGGTGGGAAACTGAGGCTCCACGAGAGTAAATGACTTGCCCACTCTTGCCTGCTACTAGAGACTGATCCAGATAAAAATCCAATTCTGTCTGTTTCCAAAGCCCACATTATTTAATATTTTTAATATTTTATTTAAAAAAATTAAAACCTACAGAAAAGTTTCAAGAGTGGTACAATGAACATCCATCTACCTTCCCCTAGATTCACTGGTTACAATTTGCAGAGCCCAAATTCTTAATCACTGTACCATTTATTAGGCACATCTTAGGATATTATACAACCTCTCTGTATTTAATTTCTTAATCTGTAAGTGGGAAAAATATCTATACTGAGGGTTTAAAAAATGAAGATTAAGTGAATAATGTATTTATTCTTTCAGCAAATATTTATTGAGCCCCTACCATCCTGGGCTGAATACAAGACATTGTTCTAAGCCAGGACAAAGCAAAATAGCACAGTCCGTGCTCTCATAGAGCTCAGAGTCAGAGGTGGAGGGGCAGAGAGTAATGACACGCTGCGTTAATTCCAGGTGGTCTAAACCTTGGGGAGGAGACAGTACCTTTGGACAGAGTGATCTGGAAGGCTTCCTGGAGGAGGTGACCTCTGGTCTGAGGCCTGACCCATGAAAGGGAGTGAACCATGCACAGATGGGGGCAGAGTGGCCCAGACTGCCCAGAGTAGGTGCCAAACATCTCCTTATTCAATAAGAAAAGGAGATTGTGGAGTTTCCATTTATTTTTACAAGAGAGCACACACTCTCAGATGGACTAGGTAATAATCTGACAAAGGATAGGCCAGCCCAGTAGGTTTTTCAGACTTCTAGCTTTGTATTGTACATCCACAGCTCTTCAAAGGGTGCTGTAAGCATGGGTGTCTGAAAAACAATCTCTATAAAAGTGCTTTGAATTCTTTGGCAATTACTTCCTTTAACCATGTAAGTTTTCCTATTAATAAACTGTGTTGCTAACTAATGGCAGTTGCTATCCAAGGAAGTCTGATTTGTGTTTCCAGAGCCTCAATAACCTTTTGCTTCTAATTTAGAAATTGGATGAAGACATGCATCAAAAAATTGCAAGGGAAATGAATCTCTCAGAAACTGCTTTTATCCGAAAACTGTGCCCAACTGACAACTTTACACAAAGTAAGTATGCATTTTTTTTTTTAACCATTCTTGAATGGTACCAGAAGCTGCTTTTCCAGTGGGGGAATGATATTTAAGGGAAATTCCCACTTACTATTTGCATGCAGATAGGTGAGAGAGGGGGCTTTCTGATTCGGTTTTCAGTTCATCTAGGGGATCAGGCGTTGGTTTATTTGAATGTTTCAGCTCCAGATCACTCTTCATTTTACAAAGTGTTTCAGCAATTAACTCATGCCAGTGAAATATTTAGAGGAGAATAAGAAAATGAAAAGTTTGGGCCAGCCGAGTGGCTCAGTTGGTTAAGAGTGCGAACTCTGAGCAACAGGGTCGCCAGTTCAATTCCCACATGGGCCAGTGAGCTACACCCGAGCTGAGCTGCCAACAGGTGGCAGGATGGCTCAGCTGGTGAGAGCACGTGCTCCTAACAACAAGGTTGCCTGCTCAACTCTTGCATGGGATGGTGGGCTATGCCCACCCACAACTAAGATTGAACACGGCACCTTGAGCTGAGTGGTCGCAAGCTGCCTATGGGTGACCAGATGGCGACTGGACTTGGAGCTGAGCTAGCTGCGCCCTCCACAGCTAGGATCGAAGGACAACAACTTGGCTGTTCCCGTTCCCCAGTTCCTCAACACTGTTCCCCTTCCCCAATAAAATCTTTAAAAAAACAAAGAAAATGAAGAGTTTGTGACTCACTTGTATAGGAATGACCTTGTTTCTCTTTGGCTTATCTTCCTCTGAAGGTTCCCGCTTTGGACTAAGGTGGTTTACGCCAGCGAGTGAGGTCCCGCTCTGTGGCCATGCTACCCTGGCTTCTGCAGCTGTGCTGTTTCACAAAATAAGTAATGTGATTTTTTTTTTCTTCTTAGTGAACCTATCACTTAGCAAATAGCAAATATATTTTTTAATTCTCACATTTTCCAATGAACCAAGTGACTGGTGTTAAGACATTGCAGAGTTTATTTCATGCAATTCATTATGCAGGAACAAAAACAGCAACCTTCAGTAACACGTGGCCTTTCTGAGGACGTACCAGGCATGTTGCAAAGCCATGGTCCTTGTTCCCTAGAATACCATTTTATTTTAAATAGGAGCTCTCTGGTTTCTGTGGAGGAGAGCTCACAAGGCAGAATAGGTGTCACATGTCATGTGATATCGGCACCAAAAGGCACACTTTGCCCCCAAAATGTCCCCACCTACACTGACATTCATTTCACAACAAGAATTTCTTTACTCTGAATTTTAAAAATTCATGTGCCCCCAACTATATACATTTACCTTGTATTACCTTAATCCTACCAGTTTCCATCTTAGCCGTATTTAGTACAATAGATAAAGATCAGGGCTTTGTTGGAATGGGGCAGAGGAGAAATGCTTGGAGATGCCCTAAAAGTGGAGATGGATGCAGCCCTGGACAGGTGTAGACAACAAACAGAAAGTTAAAGAAATAAACAGGGCTACACATGACAGAGGGTAACTGTAAGGGTGGGGAGTGGGGAAAGGAGGGCCTTTGGGGAGTTACTTTAGATGGGGATAGTAAGGGAAGGTGTTATAGGGCAGGTTCCCCCAGGATGCAGACTCTGGGACACAGTTGCATGCCAGAGGAACTGGGAGCAGTATTTTTGGGATCAATATTGGTAGGGGACTAAAGAAAGGATTGAATAGAGGGAGAAGTTGAATTGCAAAACGGTAGCAACAAAGAAAGGCCTAGGCCAAATCCACAGGGAGGTCTGAAGCTGCGAAGGTCCTCCAAGCAGTGTGGTTCCAAATAGAAGCAAAGGTTCAGGCCTTTCTACCCTCCACTGACAAGTCTCCAATGCCCAGAAAAGAGGCAGGAGTTTGGGTAAAGTAGCTCTATTCAGCCAAGGGCAAATCCCAGAGCAGGGCTCAGCAGAGAGCTGTCAGTCACTAATACTCTTGGCAGCTGGGTCAGGGCTGGGTGAAGGGTGAGACAATCAAGGTCTCAGTTGCACTGGAGAGCAGCTGCTTCTTTAAATTCTGGGCCTGGGTACTTCCTTACCTAACCTAGTGCTGGCCCTGAGAAGGGAAGAGCAAGGTTTAGACAGCAGCATCCACTAGAGAAGGGAACCTATAAGCTGAAGAATATGAAGCCATCTGTGCAAAGAGCTAGAGTGGGAGGAAGAGCATTTTGAGCAGCAGTAAATGCAAAGCCCCTGAGGGGTAAATTGAATAAACAGAGGGCTAGAGCTTCCCGAGGGAGGGGGTGATTGGCAGGAGATGGCACTGAGAATTAGGCCCAGCCCCTCTCTAAGGTAATCCATTATACATTTCAAAAAGATAATTTTGGTTTCAGTGGATAGGGGACAAGAATGAAGGCAAGTGAATGTCCTGAAATATTGTTTAAGAACTCAGTCTTGAAAAATAGAATTGAATTAAATGCCTTTTGAAATCCCCACATTGGTTCGTGTGAGGCTGAGGTTTGGAATGATGGCCCTCAGATCCCTCACAGGGTAGTTTTAAGGTTAGGTGAGATAAAGTATGAAAATAATGTCCTACACTGATTATAATGAGCAAGTCAAACTTTGGGTTTCAGAGTATAAATTTTATACTCTGCGAAAGTTAATAAGCAATGCTGAATTTCCTCACCTTTGAGATACAGTTAAGTTTCACAGAAATATTGGGGGTGCGGGGGACAAAGAATTATGTCACAAGTCTTTGTTTTCACCAAAAATGTTATGCACATTGAAGTCAGATAAGTGGCTCAAGTTGTGTCAGTAGCATGGAGGGAGGGATATTATATCGGCATTTGTGGTCCAATCTTTTAATCAAAATTTTATGTATAGTTTGGTTTACTTAGAATAAATATGACTTGTTCATATCATATGGTTGTTCATAACTTGTATGCTCTATTTGTCACCCCCTTGGCATATCTTAGACTAGTAGAATTTATAATTCTATAGTCATTATAGGTCGATATTTTAAAATCTGCATTAGAAAACATAGTATCCCTATGAGGTAGGTTTGTTACCCTATGTTATTGGTAAAATAAAATTGGTATAGACATAATTATTACCCCATTTTATTGATGAGGAAATAGAGGTTTAAGGAGGCTAAATAATTTGCTCAAGGGTACAGCTAGGAAGCAGTAAGGAGCTGGGATTTGAAGCCTCACAGTATGATGCCAAATTCAATCAGTCATGTTCTTGGTTCTCAAGTTAGAATCCAGCAAGGGTTTTCTCTACCTTGGACCTCAGCAAAACAAACCCGGGTCCCCCTTGCAGGAAAGGATAGTACCGCCAGAGAATCTAGGACAATATAATGCTGACTGAAACAGACACACAAACACATAACAAAGTTTATTTTCCTATTTCTTGATTCCCTTTCAAACAGTTTTCTGATTGACAAAAAAAGTCTCTCTTTTTTTTTTACCAGAAAACGTGAATAGCACTCTAACATTTGTCACACTGAGTGGGGAACTAAAGGCCAGAAGAGCCGAGGATGGTATCATCCTGGACTTGCCCCTTTATCCAGTCCACCCCCAGGTCAGCTCTTTCTAATTCTTGCCATTAACTGTGTACAACTGACAGCTTGCATGTTTTACAAAGGTTTTGTCTTTTTTCCCCCATCTAGGACCACCATGAAGTAAAGGACTTGATAAAGGTTGGTGAAAAGAATCAAACCTGAGCTCGTGTGATCTGGTCACTTGTGATTTTTTTGAACACAAAGATTCGGTACCATTTGATCCCAAAAGACAGGCCTTCTACCAGTATCTATGTTGCAATCTAAGCCTGGATGAATAGTGCGTAGTACATTTGAGGTTTGAATTGTATTATTGAATTTATTTGGTGAGAAGGTTGACTCGTGTTCCCTGACTCTTCATGGTCAGCATTAGCACCCATGGTAGGATGGGGAGAGGAGAGGCTGCTATGTGGCAGACTGAGAGTGAAAGAAAAAGGAGGAAACTAACTGCCCGCAGCTGTCGGTGTCTCCAGTCTCTGTGACAGAGGCTGAGGCTGACGTGGAGGGTCTGTGCTTTGATGAAGGAGAGCAGGAAAGCATGGGAACCTTGACAGGGAAGACAATGCACAATGCCTGGCTTTCTCAAGGGGTCTGTGTGGGGGTGGGGCTGCGGTGGTGGCATCATCATTGTCATCATCATCATCATTGTCATCGAGAACATTTTTGAGTCTTCCCTAGGCAGTACCACTAAGCATTTCACATGCATTATTTCACTTATTCTCACTGTCACCTGGGAACGTAGGTACTGTAATTGTCTGATAGGGATTCCAGAGGGCCAGAGCAGCCCTGGATGACCAGGTACTTAGCATGTAGAGAAGGAAGGGCCCAGGTCAGGACTAGGGCAAGGGCCGCCAGGAAAAATAATGATTCCATAAAATGGCCTGTTGTGGGTACCACAGGGGTGTTTCTCAGTGGATTTTCAGCAATATCATTTGTTGTTTCTTTAGTGTTTTGCTTTATCTAGGTTTTCAAAAAGTATTAGCAAACATCATGGATTCTGTTCTAATTTTACCCTCAGCCTCACCTATGGTTTGGATTTTGGGAGGTCAGCCAAATTCATAAATGAACTGTTTTAAGCATGTTGGCAGGGAAATGGAAGCTATTCATAGCAGTAGACCTTGTTCATGGCAGAAAGAGCTTAACCTGAGCTCTCTAAGCCTCAGGGTCAGCATTTGTAAAATGGGAATGACAAAGGGTTATTTGTCATGAGTGTTGTCATTTTGTGTTCCTAAAAACTGGCAATAAGATTCCCAGCTGAGAATTACATTTTTTTATTATTTTTTTTTATTGTGAAATACACATTTTTTAGCATTAGTTTCAGCTGTAAAACAGTGCAATAGTTATACTTTTTACCCCTCAAGGTGACAACCCCCTCCCCCAATCCGCCGCCCCACTTCCCCCACCAATATCATACATATCTATTACAATTCCCTTGACTCCACTCCCACACTATATTCCACGTCCCATGACAATATCTATCTATCTATCTATCTATCTATCTATCTATCTATCTATCTATCTATCTATTCACTTATAGTTGACATACAATGTTATACAACATCAGTTTCAGGTGTACAGTGCAGTGATCAAGCCTCTACCCCATCCATGTTGCGGTCTCCCTAGCAAGACATGTGACCATCTGACACTCTACAAAATATTTACATTATTAATTATATTCCTTGAACTGTCTTTCATGTGTCTGTGACAATATTGTAGTTACGTATTTATGCTGTCTAATCCTTTCCCCATCTCCCTCATCCCCATCCCCTCCCAACTAGCAACCATCAGTTTTTCCTCTATATCTCTGAGACCACTTCTGTTTACTTTGCTCGTTCATTCAGTTTTTTAGATTCCACATATAAGTGAAATCATATGATATTTGTTTTTCTCCGACTGACTTATTTTACTTAACATAATAGTCTCTAAGTCCATCCATATCGTTGCAAATGGTACGATTTCATTCTTCTTTATAGCAGAGTAATACTCCATTGTATAAATGTACCACAGTTGCTTATTCCAGTCATCTACTGATGGGCATTTCGGTTGTTTCCAAGTCTTGGCTATTGTGAATAGCGCTGCAATAAACATAGGGGTACATATGTTTTTTTGAATTAGCTTCTTGGGTTTCTCTGGATAGATACCCAAGAGTGGAATTGCTGGGTCATACGGTAGTTCCATTTCCAGTTTTTTGAGATACCTCCATACTGATTTCCATAATGGCTGCACCAATCTGCAATCCCACCAACAGTGCACTAGGGTTCCCTT